GAGACTGTCTCAAAAAAGGAAAAAAAAAAAAAAAAAAGGGACACATCAGACTTTACAGTCCCCTGTGCCCCCACCAGCACAGGCCCCTGAGACAGCCTCCATGACAGTTCCCCAAATAAACAGTCACCAATCTACGGGGCTCTCCACAGCCCAGTGCTCACTCCAGCCACCTGATCAGATCCTGGCCCTCCTTGTCCATCTCCTCCCTGAACGATGGGCTGGACTGTCACTGACAGTGCCCTGGGCGACAGGTGGCAATCTGCAGAGGTCATTAACTCCAGAGCGCCACATTTTAATGCAAAAATGGGCCCTTCTACATTGGCGCAGATGCGATGCTATATAAAGAAATGGAGACTTTAATGTTTTGCTTTTCTTCCCTTTTCTAGTGCCACATTATCATAACATTTTCCCATAATTACGCCCATAAAAGTCACCTGAAAATACTTCATGCCACAAAAGTTGATCTACGTATTTCATTCCAAGCATGTCGCATGGCAGATCCTGAGCTCAGAACTCGGGGGCAACACTTAGCTGGGGGCAGAGAACAGAGCCACAGAGCAGAGCCCCCTTCCTGGGTTCAAGTGTCCTCTGGCCTCAGGGAGGTCCAGCAGCACGAGTGCAGGTGGGAGTGTGCCACCAGTGTGGACCGTGGAACAGAGCAGACCCCCCTTCTGGTTCTATCTCAGTGAAAGAGCAGGGGTGGGGTGTGGGGAGGGGACAGTGGAGCACCGCCAGGATTCCCAGGCAGGAGTCAACGCTGCTCTCCAGGGCACTGTCTAGCGTGGCTCCGCTGGGATGTCCCCTCCCTCAGGCATCCCTGCCTGGGGAAATCCTGCGAGGGGCAAACCTGCCTCCTCCTGACCGATCCTAGGGCAAGGATGTCAGCTAAAAGAAATCCCGAAGTCAGATCATTTATATTTACGGAGCCGGCAGAAACAAACAACCCATCTTTTGGTGCACTAAATTCATCCAATAAAAATACAGTAAGAATTAAAAAAAAAAAAAAAAGATGAGAAATAAACTTCCAAATGGCATCACTTCATTAAGCCCCCAGTATTTTCCATTTTACCTCTTCTCAAACTCCAGAACAACATCTGAACAGCAGGAAAGTAGCATATTCTAATTGCTCCTAAATATGCACTAAATTGTATTTATAAAGGAAATGCAACACCAGAGTGCCTACGCTCGGTTAGGATTCTAATGGATCAAAAACAATTCCAAAGTCATTTGTAATTTTTTCTCATCGCCGTAGCTGAAGACATGACGTTTAACTGGAAGGGACAACTCCATGCTGACGGGATTCACTGAATAGGGCGCGTGGAATCTAGGCTGGTGCACCGTGTCCTTCACTTTGATTTCAATACCTCACACAAAGACGGAGTCGGGGATTAGGTGTCACAGGACGCTGCACCAGGCCACCATTTGCTTCCCTCCCTTGCTGCTGTTCTGTCCCATATGCCAGGGGGGAAAGATCACGCCTCGGTGGCAGGCACAGAACACCCTCAACCAGCTCTAGCTGGGTCAAGTGGTCCCACTCCACATCCAGGCAAGAACCATATCGATGCAGACAGACCTCTCACCTCCAAACAGGCTACGGGGAAAACAACCTATACCAACTCTTTAAGCCACACCCACAGGGGCTTCCTCAGACCAGAATCCAGCTCCTCACCACACAAGTCAACTCATTACCAAGCATCCAGCCCCCGCGGGCAGCCCCGGCCGAGGAAGCAGCAAGCCTGCTGTCACCGTGATGGACGCGGCCCACCGAGCATGCATGTCAAAGTGAGCCATCCAGGGCCCCTTTCCCTGTTTGCGTCTCCTGGCAATTCTTCCCCAGGAGGAAAAAAAATGACAGGGCTGTGTCACTATAGCAACTAGCCCAACTGGTGGACTGCACATCTTTCTCCAGCCAGACGGTGGAGCTCATCTCCTTCTATATGGATCCTAGCACAGGGGAAAGAAAGGCCGGACTCTCGCTGGGCCGGGAACAGCAGAGTCCCCCCAACAGAAAACCCGGCCAAGAAAGAACCCAGTTTCCTCTTAGCTGCGCCAGGAAGCCAACACCTTGTGTGCTGCAGAGAAACACACAGATTTAACAGGCAGGATAATTGAACCCTGTATGACACTTATCAGTTTCCCTAATTAATATGATTCAAATATATCTGCTTCATAACACAAAGACATTTTGAGTCATAAAAATCCTTACTGATAACAAAAACAATTTACTAACAAGGATACGAACTATTCTTCTTCATCCCAGATATACCGGAAGAATGAAAATCATAGGAACTGTTTAATTAGCATTTAATTTGCTTTATCGGTTCTAAAAAAAAAAGGCGGGGGCATTTTTTTTTCTCTAGGACTGCAGTTCCAAGCTATAAATTATTATTATGTCTATTTTGTATTTTAGTGAAATGTTTTAATTTCTCCAAGTACATTTCTGGTGTAATGGGGTGTGTCTCTCATTGTCAATTATTCCATTACATGGAGATGCAAAGAGCCATAAAAATGTGCCTCACCCAAGCTTCTGTTTTCAGTTATTTCTGCTCTTCTGCTAAGACCTTCTTACCAACTGCCCTTGCCCTGGCCGAGGGCTGTTTCCCGAACACTGGGGAGGCCTCCGAGGGAGGGATGAGTGTGGAAACCGGATCTCTTTTCCTCCGAGTGTCTGAGCAGCAGGCTCAGACGGCTGCACCGGGACACTGGGACTCCACTCAGCAGAGCCGGCGACAGTCACGGGAAGGTGCGAGCCGTCTGCATGAACAACATGCTAACACCTTTGGATTCAGGCTGCAGCACGGGGTGGGAGAGGGCTGAAGCCGCGTGTAGGGAGACAGGAGACAGTGTGTACCCAGCTCCTCGCAGGCTGGGGAGGTGCAGTGTTGAAGCCAGCGAGCCCTGGTGTCAAGTACTTAGCAACAATTAGCAGATGTTCTTTTCCAGACCTGCTGAGCTGCTGGGGGTTGGTGGGGGGTGTTGTCCTGGGTTCTAGAAGCCAGCCAGGGATGGGCAGCCTGCAGTGGGCTTAGGGCACTACAGCCCCTGGCCACACACTGCTGAATGAAAAAGTACATTCAAACGCCTCCTCTTCAGCACAGAGTTGGCCTGCCATTAACCCTTTCTATGTCTCCTAGGAAGCCCTGCGTGGGGGTCTGCTAGGGAATCCCCCCACGAACGCCTGCAGGCCCCGTGACGGCCACGGAGACCTCAGGGACAGGCACAAATGTCTCGGAAACCCCCAGACCCTGCTCCCTGCAGCCAGTGGGTTCCCAGGGGCGCCGGCGCACCCACGGTGGTCTGGCCTGCCTGGGCAGGTCAGGTTAAGACCCCTGTGTGCTGTGAAGCTCCAGGCTTGGCGACCCCTCCCCGCGCGGTGCCACAGTCATGCTACAGGGAGGTGCAGGACCCCGCGCGGAAACAAGTCGGACAATTCCCGATCTGGGCTCCGGGCTTCCCTCGAGAGCCTGGCGGGCTGGGCTGTCCCAGGACTCCGACCCCGCGGTCTCCCGGGCCCGCTGTGCTGTCATTTAGGCGACAGCGGAAGGATGGGATGGGACTGGGAGCCTGGAGGCCCGGCTCTGGGGGAGCTGGTGTCTGTGGAGGGAGGTTTGGTGCTGGCCTTTTCATGGTTTTTTTTTTTTTGGGGGGGGGGTAAAGAATCCATATTTTTCCATCACCTCCCGCGCCCGTGGCAATTCTCCATGGCAGGTGTTCCCCAGCACCCGTCCTTTTCTCCCGCTGAAGACGAGACGCCTGGGGCTCCCGGAGCCGACGCCGAGCAGCCCCCACTCGCCCCAGCAGCTGCGAACATGCCCCGGGATGCTGAGCTCCCTCCCCAGGGCCGAGCCCGGAGTCTGCACCCGGGACCCCATCGCCCGTCCTTCCCCCGGCGCGGAGCCTCGGCGGGGACACAGGCCGCCCCCACCCCCCAGGCCACGGGAGCCCGCGGCCGCCACCCCCCGCCCAGCCCCCGCGGACTCCGGGCGCCCACCGGCCCGCGCCCGCCCCGCGGGTCGCCAGCTCGGGCCCCAGACACGACCCCAGAACAGCCCGCGGCCGCGGCGACCCCTCCAGGCATCCCACCCTCACTTGTCCGCTCTTCCGGAAAGCGCCTGACGAGCCGCTGCCCGGGAAGGCGGAAGCTGCGGCCGCCCCTCCGAGCCTGAGGCGCCCCTCTCCGGGTTCCGCCGCCGCGACCCCCGCGTCCCGGGCCGGAGGCTGCGGGCGGGAGGCACCGGGGGACGCTCCCCCGACACCCCGGCCGCGCGGCCCGCCCCGACCCGCCGCCGCCTCCCTCCCGAGCGCGCGGCTCCGCCGGGAACCCGCGGGCCTGGGCCGGGAGCAGCCGCGAACGCACGCCGGGCAGGGACGGGCCGCGCCACCGGGGCCTGGAGCCGGGGCCCTGCCGGGGAGTCGGGGACGGAGGGCGGCTCGGGCAGGGGCGTCCGACCCCGGAAGCCCGGAGGACCCTCGCCCGCCAGCGCCGCGGAGGGGACCCCGCCAGGACCCGGGGGACCGCGCGCCCCGCGCTCGCAACTCTGCTCCAGCCGGCTCCGGGAGGCCCGCGGGGCGCCCGGCGGGGCAGGGGCGGGGGGCCGGGCCGAGGGCCGGGCCGGGGCCGGGGCCGGGCCGCGCGGTACTCACTGCAGTAGGCGATGAGCAGGCTGGCCAGGATCATGAACGCCCAAAAAGTTGAGGACATGCTGGGGAGGGCGGTCGCATCTTGCCGGCTGCCGGTCCTGGGCGATGGCGCCATTGAAGCCGCGGCGCCCGCGCGGGGGGCAGCAGCGCGTCTCAGCAGCCGGCCCTGCCCGCGCCCCCGCGCCGGCCTCCACGTGCGGGCCCCGCGCGCGCCATCCTCCTCCTCCTCCGCCGCCGCCGCCGCCGCCGCCGCCGCCGCCGCGCCCGGGCCCCGGCCCACCGCGCCCCGCGCCGCGCCCGCGCCGCCCGCGCTCGCGCCCGCGCCCGCGCCCGCCGACCCCGCGCCGGCCCGCCAGGGGGACGCCGGCCCCGCTCTGGGCGTCACTGCGCGCCCCGGCTAAGCGCGCTCCGGCATCCGTGCGAGACGCGCGCGCCCGCCGCCGCGGGGGGCTCCCGCCGCCGACCCGGGACTGGCGAGAAGGGAGGCGGCGGAGGGGACGCCGCGCCCGAGCCGCTCCTCTGGATGGCGACAGAGACGGCCTGGCGCGCCCGCAGCCTGGGCACCCCGGGAGGACGGCCTGGCCGGGTGAAGTTTGCGGACTCGGGCCTTCCGGGTCCCCCTCTGCCGCCGCCGCCGAGGCCTGGAAGGCTGAGGGTGGGGGCCAGACGTCTCCTAAGGTGGGTTCTGGGACTTGGACCCGGAGTTTATTCCAAGTAGAGGGTGCTTTGGGCCTGTTCCCCAAGGGGGCCCTGTCACCCCAAGTAAGGCTTGTGCAGTGGGGTCCCTGAGTCCACGGGGAGCACAGCCTCGGACCCCAGCAGAGTCACCTTCCCTGGAGGCCCCGCGCCCATGAGGGCTCCTCCTCCCCGCTGTGTGGCAGAGGCGCGCAAGTCCCCTCCGTCCTCCGCCCCAGAACCACTCTGCCCGGGCACCTCTGCCACGGCCCCGTCCTTGCTGAGCCATCTCCTGGCCCATCTCCCCGGAGTCCCTGCAGGACCAGCTCTCGGTGGCGCCTCCGGCTCCCAGTCCCGGGACTGGCCCTATGGAGGTTTGCTTTGAGAGGGTGACAGCGACCGTCATCTGTTTTACTTGCACAGTCAATGACCATCTGCGAAACAGGTTCACCTCTCTAACAACAAGCTAAGGATGGGAAGAGTGGGCCCCATGAGGACACGTTCCCCATGTCCACCCCTGCTGCTTGTGTCCCCTTCGAACCTCCCAATACAGCCCAGAATGCGCTCCCCAGTCCTGGACGCCCAGATGGCCCTGCTGCCTGGGGAGGCTCTGGCTCCTGCGGGCACCTGCAGCGCGCCACCCCGAGCTCTCCCTTGTTGCAGGTTGGCGGCTGATAGAACTCCTGCCCCGGGACTCACAAGATCTCCATCTGGCACAGGGGCTGGGGCCTTGAGCACCCCGCGAACTTCTTTTGGAGCCAGAGACGCTTTTCTGAGGAGCCAGTAGAGGGCCTGCGAGTCGGATTGAGCAACCAGCGAGAAGCAGCGTCCTCCCTGCATCTTGAGGCCTGGTCCAGGTTGGTGAGGGCATGTGGATTCTCCCCGGCCCTACACTCATGCACAGCTCATGCCTTCGCCGCCCCGCGCGCAAACCGCAGCACACGCGCGCGCGCACACGTATTCTCCTTCAGTGTCTCTCTCACACTCACACATACACACTCATGCACGCACACGCATACACACACACAGAACACTTTAGGAGAAACTGAGGCCAAGAAAGGCAGTCTCTGACTGCACGTCCTCTAACCCCCATCCCAGTGGTTGGTGTGGACTGAAGTGTCCTTGCCAGGGGCTCCGACGGGATTCTTGCCTTAATATGATTGTGTCCACGCTTGCTTTTCCCCAGCAGTTTTCAATTCCTGTTTAATTGAAACACTGACTTCCCTGTTTGGTATCTTCTCAACTGCAGCTTCTCGTCGCTCTCTTCCCTGTCAGGGAGGTGACTGCAGAAGTTGGGGCTCCTGACAACTTTGGGGTGGTCACGCGCCCCTTGTCTCTGGATGTGCAGGGTGGGCATGGGACCCTGGCAGGGAGGGCCTCCCTCGATGGGATTCTGTGGAGCCAACCATTGAAGCCCAGATCTCCACCTTTACCACTTAATTACTTCGACTGAGGCCTTTTAGCCTGCTAAAAAGGACGTGGCTTTTAAAATGTGACAGCTTCCATTTCATCCCGTCCATGCCAAACCCCTGCACCAGACATGCCTTCATTCAACCTCTATTCATTGAGCACCCGCTAGGGCCGGGCACTGGAGCTGGGAAGCCAACAAGACATACAGTTTCTGTCCCCTGGAAAGTGGCAATCCGTTTGGGAAGCAGACAAGGAAACAATTCCAGTGCAATGTGGCAGCCGTCACGATGGGAGGGAGTGGAGAGCGAGGGGGGAGCATTTACCCTGAATCATGCTCTAGAGCGCAGCAAGGTGTATGCCAGGGAGGGCTTCCGGTGCCAGGGCCGGCTTCCGGTAGGCTGCCATCCACACCTCTTTTGTCCCATCCTTAAGACAAACACAGACACATGCACATACATATGCACATGCACACTCACACGAGCACACACATGAACACACATGTGAACACATGCACACACATGCTTAAAGTGAACGTTTCCGGGGCAGCATTTACCCCAACAATACTCTGATGTTCTCTATTCCATCCTAATCCATTTTCGAAATGCTGGTTGCCCGCCCAATAATTTGGTTTACAGTAATTTTCTTTGTTTTAAAAATATGGTTTGAAGAGAGATGCCATCTACCTTGACTTTGGGAGGGTACCCTGGAGCCTTCCTGCCAAGGACAGGGGCCGTGGTGACAGTGGGGTGGCTGGGAGGGCTCCCAAGCAGAGGAAGAGGGGTACACCGTGGTCCATGGCCTGCTGTATGCGGGAACTCAGACACTGAGGTTTTTGCAGCCTCAACATGAGGGCTATGGCGGGAAACCCTGAGCTATGGGAACATAGTGGCTGGTTCATTGTGCGCTGAAAATTTCCAAAAAAAGGGAATGAAAGGGGAATGCTTGGTGCTTGTGACTTGGAGTCCAGAATGGTTAAGAGTCTGAAACCTGGTGATGCTGGAAAAGGTGAATTCTCCACCCAGGTTACAAGTAGAGGGAGCCGAGGAGCGGGAGGCAGGGGAAGTGTGGGGTCAGAGATCAGACTGAAGAGGTGGGGCCTCCCGTGGGACAGCAACCTCGATGTAATTACAGAGACCCCACCCCGGGCAGCCCGAAGGCAAAGGCAGGTACCTAGTCCAGCCCCATCCCGGCGGTGTTTCCAGAGGCCTGGAGAGACAGAGACCATGCTGGAAATTGAGGATGGGGCTGAGCGCAGCCTGCATTCTGTTGCTAGGGAACAGAAAGCTCCGTTCTGGATCCCAACACATGCTGCAGATTGACGATTTTTTTGCTGTTGTTGATGGGCTGTTTTTGATTACTAGTTGGAACTGACAGGAGTTTGGATTTTGAACCCTAAATAAGTCTATTAAATAATCACACCCTCACCTTCGCTCCTTCCCAAAAGCAAGGGGTGGCAATTGTTTAACCCTTGAGGGGGTCCTCAGCTCTCACCCCACACCAAGCCACCGGTCCTGGGATGCTTCAGAGGCCTGGCCCATGGAAGGGGTGTCCCGCACGGCGGGCACCCAGGTTGGCTGAGGAAGACAGTAGAAAGGGGCATCACCCAGAGAGGAGGGGTGGCTGACCAGCGTGCAGCCCCCGGCACGTATTGCAGTCAGGTGGCGTCTTCGCTGCGCTCCTGGGGTTATGAGTCCACTGCTGGCTGTGTTCTGCTGTGGTCGGCGAGGGGGTGGGTTGTGGTTCTCTCCTCCGTCCGCTCCTCTGCAGTGAGTGTGTCTTATATTTGCTGTTAGGTTGCGGGTGCCCAACTGACCAAGGGGTCCCTGAGATCCTGAATTTGAAGCTGGATGTTTTCGCGAAGTGAGATGTCAGGATGTCCCGCTGACACGGTGGGAGAAAAATGTATTTTATGCGAGGTCAGCGCTATCCCCTAAAGGAAGCGCATGGGTGTCCGAATGGCATGGGGAGGCTGTAGCTGGCTGCTGTGCTTGCTCGTCCCTGGATCTGTGCCGCCTTCTGAAAACAACGGCAGGCGTTCACCCTGCACACACATATCCCACGTGCATTGTATCAAGAGCTTACTCTGATGGCTGGGGAGGACCCAGGTTGGCAGAGGGAGTTGAGCCAGCTTGGCAGTGGCTGGGAAAATCCAGGTGACAGCCAGTGTGGCTAGCTTCTCAGGGGCAGCTGTGAGGACAGGGATGGGGGGTGGGGGCTTGGCAGCTCTCCAGGAAGTACAGCTGATGAGCTCTGGGGACTCCGGAGTGGTGGGCATGGCAGAGATGTCCCAAGAGACTCTCCAGGCTTCTGGCTGCAGAACCTGGGCATGGCTGGGTACAGTGGTTCAAGCCGATAATTCTAGCACTTTGGCAGGCCAAGATGAGAGGGTAGCTTGAGGTCAGGAGTTCAAGACCAGCCTGGGCAACACGGCAGGACCCCATATCTACAAAAAAATCAAAAAGTTAGACAGCATGGTGGTGCACACCTGTAGTCCCATTTACTCAGGAGATTGAGGTGAGAGGATCGCTTGAGCCCAAGAGTTCGAGGCCGCAGTGAGCTCTGATTGTATAACTGCACTCTGGCCTGGGTGACAGAGGAGACCCTGTCGGGAAAGCAGGAAGGAAGGAAGGAAGGAAGGGAGGGAGGGAGGGAGGGAGGGAGGGAAAGAGGGAAAGAGGAAGGGAGGCAGGCAGATCAGGGAATGGCCATTGATACGGGCCCTGCCAGCTGCTGGGGATGGCCGTGAACACTAGCGAGCTCAGGCAGTTCCTCAGCCAGCTTCCAGGCCACAGGAAAGAGGGCACAAAAGGCCAGAAGACACACATGGGGAAGGCGAGGCCCAGCAGGCACAAACTGTGTGCCCACGAGGACAGAGCCCACCTGGCTGCTGAATTCTCAGCGCTGAAAACAGTGCTTTGCAGAGAGTTGATAAATGGCATGAATGCATTATTTAACGATAATTATCCATTGCATTGATCCCGTCTAATAATGACAATAAGTAGTATTGATATATCCCATACTATGGCCAGGCACTAGTCAGTCCAAGGGCCTGCATATACTCAGTCACTTCATCTTCATAACAGCCCTGGGAGGCAGTGGATACCTGGATTGAAGGCCATGGGGAAGTGAAGGAAGTGGCCCTGGGATTTTTAGGCAGCCACAAGAGCTGAGGTTGGGACCCCTGCTCCAGAGAACCTGCTCTGAGGACTGTGCCCACGACCTCTCATCATCAAATCACGTTCATTAAAAAGATGTAAAAGTGGAGGGCTGGGCACGGTGGCTCACACCTGTAATCCCAGCACTTTGGGAGGCCGAGGCAGGCAGATCACCTGAGGTCGGGAGTTGGAGGCCAGCCTGACCAACATGGAGAAATGGCATCTCTACTAAAAATACAAGAAAATTGGCTTGGCGTGGTGGCACACGCCTACAATCTCAGCTACGCAGAAGGCTGAGGCAGGAGAATCACTTGAACCTGGGAGGCACAGGTTGCGTTGAGCCGAGATGGGGCCACTGCACTCCAGCCTGGCAACAAGAGCAAAACTCCTATCTCAAAAAACAAAAAAGCAAAATCGAGAGACAAGCGAAAGGAATATAGAATGTTCCTCAGTTCTGCCACTCAGTTCACCGCATTGAGTGTTTTGTTAATATCTTCCATATCCTTTTTCACGTATGCATGCATCCTGTAAATATTTCGTAAACAGGTTTCTTAGTACATAGTGAATATTATTTCACGGCATTCTATATCCTTCCAGAACATGACGTCTGCTGGCAGCCTGAAATTCTGTGACACATAAATACTGCCATTTATTCAATCAACCTTGATTTTTGGACTTTGTGATGATTTCTAGTGTTTGGAAAACACTTCCTAAATGAACACGCTTTTACTGAAATCATTTTCTATATTTACAGTTATTTACAGAAAAAAAATTACAGAGCTGGAACTGTTAGGTCGAAATAAGGACATCATTTTGAGGCCTTGCTCTATATTGCCAAATGAATTCCCAAAAAGATTAATATTAATTTGTATCCCTACAGACAGCACGTGGGAGGTTCCCTTGTGCCGGTCTGTTCACGCTGGTCCCGGATATGATCCCTGGCGTGGGTGTCTCGGGACAATTTTGCCCATAGGAAGAAATTTCACTGTTGTTTTCATTTGCGTTTGTCTAACAAGGATTCACAATTTTTATGTATGCCATTTCAGCGTCTTTCGTAGATCAACGGTTGATATTCTTTTTCAAGTATTCTCTTAGTGAGTTTGTCTTTTATTCTTGATTAGCAAGAACCCTTTCACTGTATTTACGGGATATCTTCCTTTAATTTGGGAGGCTTTAAAACAGTAACAGAAACGAGAATATCGTAATATAACACTGTTGTTACAATGATGTTGCAAATCACGTTTTCAGTTGTCTTTGTTGAAGTGTCTCGTGCCCATTTCTCCTCTTGGAGG